CGAGCAGGGAGCCCGATGCGGGACTCGATCCAGGGACTCCAGGATCATGACCTGAGCCGAAGGCAGTCGCTTAACCAACTGAGCCACCCAGGCGCCCCTAGTTTATTGTTTTCTTAATGACAGAGAGTGTGAGGTTGGATTTGAATACAGAATAAAAGTATAGTAAGTGCCTATAAAGCTGTACATTTTCTGAGAAAATGGGCTTTTGAAGATGTGTCTAAAAGTATATATGTTTGTATGTTCATATGTTCATCTTAACATAGCATGTTAAGAATATTTAATTTTTTTATATCTTTTTTTTTTCTCTCCAGAGAATACGTTTGAGGTAAAATTGTTTAAAAATAGCTCAGGTCTAGGATTCAGTTTTTCTCGAGAAGACAGTCTGATTCCTGAACAAATGAATGCCAGCATCGTAAGGGTTAAAAAGCTCTTTCCTGGACAGCCAGCAGCAGAAAGTGGAAAAATTGATGTGGGAGATGTTATCTTGAAAGTGAATGGAGCCTCCTTGAAAGGACTATCTCAGCAGGTGAGCCCCTAGGTGTTAAATGTAGCACTTTTAATAATGAGATGGATTGGCCTTTCGTAATGATTTCATAATACTGACTTAACTGTATCTTCATTTATCATTCATGGTACCCCTAGGAAGTCATATCTGCTCTCAGGGGAACATCTCCAGAAGTATCCTTGCTGCTTTGTAGACCTTCACCTGGTATGCTACCGGAAATTGACCCTGCTCTTTTGGTGAGACCTGTGAAAAGTCTGTATTTTTATAGAATAGCAATTGAGTGATTAATTCAGCTGTAGTGGTTTCATCATTGATTGATCTTCTGGGTTTCATCCTACTTTATTCTTTAGCTAGGAATTTTGTGTGGGTCATGTAGCATCTGAGTATATTCTACATTTGTAATATAAAGTAATTCAATTCACTTTCTTATCTCTCCTTTCCACTTCTAGAATTCTAGTATTTTAGGAGTTTGTTTTCTAAGCAGAATTAGAAAGGGAAAGATACAAAATAATGGTTACAAAACCCTTTTGTCCATTTCTTCATTGAGCCAAACTGGGAAGCATAATTCTCATTCTGAGCTAGTTTAGATAAAAATGAAAATTATTTAAGAATTTTTGCCCTTATTTTTAATACCGGAAATTACAGAGTAAGCAATATGCTTGTCCATTTCCCTTTCTTATGTCAGAGAAACAGCTAAAGGATCCAAAATCTATTCTAATGGTTATTTATAAATTACATCCATACGTAGATGAACAGTAATATAATTGAAGAAAGACACCTTTTGTCCTGTCTACTTAAAAGGGTATTCCATTAAAAATAAACATGACCCCTGGGTATGAAAGGCAGGAGTGTCTAGCCCCAGAAACTTTGGCTTTTATATCAGGGAGGGGGGTAGTGTTAGGACATTAATAGGAAAGCATCATTTCTGAAGGTGTATTATAAACAGCATTTTATGAGAATACATTGATTTTGGGCACCAGGTAGGAAGAACTGAATGGAACTCTCTTAATGAGTATGTAAATTGATACAATCTTTCTGGAAAGCAATCTGGAAATATTTAACAAGGCCTTTAAGAACATCCTATGTGCTGATTATTAAATAGAAAATTACAAGGAGGGGCACCTGGGTGGCTCAGTCAGTTGAGCGGCTGGCTGCCTTCAGCTCAGGTCATGATTCCAGTGTCCTGGGATCAAGCCCCACGTCAGACTCCCTGCTTGGCGGGAAGCCTAATTCTCCCTCTTCTTCCCATTTGTGCTCTCTGTCGCTATCTCTGTCTCTGTCTCTGTCTCTCTCTCAAATAAATTAATAAAATCTTTTAAAAAATAGAAAATTACAAGGAAATAATGAGAAACTGAGGTGAAAATGTCCATACAAAGAATCTCTGGGGCGCCTGGGTGGCTCAGTCGTTAAGCGTCTGCCTTCGGCTCAGGTCATGATCCCAGGGTCCTGGGATCAAGCACCGCATCAGGCTCCCTGCTCAGCAGGAGGCCTGTTTCTCCCTCTCACACTCCCTCTGCTTGTGTTCCCTCTCTCGCTGTGTCTCTCTCTGTCAAATAAATAAATAAGATCTTAAAAAAAAAAAAAATCTCTGGATTTCTATTAATAGTAAAAGTTAGATACAGTTCTCTGTAAAATAAAAGAATTCTGAAATAAATGAAAGGTATAGCCATCTGTGGGATCATTACACAGTTTTATGCAGTTTTTTTTCAAAGCATATTTAAGGACTTCAGAAAATATTAATGATAGAAACCTAAATTTGAAAGTAAGTTACAGGGGTGCCTGGCTGGCTCAATCGGTGGAGCATGTGACTCTTGATCTCTAGGTCGGGAGTTTGAGCCCCACATTGGGTGTAGAGAGTACTTAAAAATAAAATCTTCAAAAAAAAAGTAGGATACAAAGTACAATATATAGTATAAGTCATGTAATATTAACAGTTATATTTATATATGGTTTTTCTCTCTAATGAGCATAAATTACCTTTATTGTCAAAATATAATTGCATATTTTAATAAAAAGTGCTGTTCAGCATGTTCCTTTTCAATTAAGTGGGTTTTTTTAAAGATTTTATTTGTTTATTTGGGTGAGAGAGAGAGCACACAAGCAGAGGGAGGGGCAGAAGCAGACTCCCCGCTGAGCTGGGAGCCCAACTCAGAGCTTGATCCCAGGAACCCAGGATCACAACCTGAGCCGACACCAGACACTTAACCGACTGAGCCACCCAGGGGCCACTCAATTAAGTGTTCTAAGTTAATATAAGTTGTCACACTCTGATCTCTTTCAATGTGTGCATTACAGACCCCACTGCACTCTCCAGCACAAGTACTTCCAAACAACACCAAAGACTCCTCTCAACCAGCATGTGTGGAGCAAGGCACCAGCTCAGATGAAAATGAAATGTATGACAAAAGCAAGAAACAATGCACATCCCCATCCAGGAGAGACAGTTACAGTGACAGTAGTGGGAGTGGAGAAGACTTGGTGAAAGCTCCAGCAAAGATACCAAAGAGGAGCTGGAGTTCATCTTTGCATCAGACTCTAAACAATATGGGATCACAGGCACAAAGTCAACATGAAACATCTAAGAGTAAAGAAGATGCCATTTGTACCATGTTTTACTATCCTCAGAAAATACCCAGTAAAGCAGAACTTGAGGACAGGTATTGTCAATATTATATGTAGCACTCAAAGCAACTGGTTATTGTGAGTAATGGGAGTAGCAACCTACATTTCTTTAAGGATGAAATATGTCTATGTGTAAATGAACTTCACAGTGATCAGGGAGATGATGACTGTATTAGATACCTAGTTACTGTGACTGACAGTGTTAGTTAGCAAATCAGTAAGTGCTCTAGCCTTTTGACCTGAGATTTGCTGATCTCCTGAGCATATTTAGTTGAAATTGGGAAAGTTGTTTGCATTTCATCATCATTCATATTAGTTAAAAGAGAGAGAAGAGACCTGTTTAGATAGTGATGGGCAGAGGGCGCCTGGGTGGCTCAGTCAGTTGGGCGACTGCCTTCAGCTCAGGTCATGATCCTGGAGTCCCTGGATCGAGTCCCGCATCGGGCTCCCTGCTCGGCGGGGAGT